CCCCGAGCCTTACAGCCTATTCTTGCTCAGCTGGCTTTAAAAACCTATCAATCATCTCAAAAAACACAAGGTGAAAGGGAACGAACTCCCTACTTCTGGTAGTTGCCATAGAGGGAAACAGGAGCAACCCTCTAAAGAGGGGCAGAAACTTTAAAGTTTCCCCCTCATCAAAAGCATTTCATTGGAGAAGGAGACCCTCAAACAAAAAAACTGAGGCTGACTGCACACGCAGTGGAGAGCAACAACTTGCTGATAATGCCATCTCCTCCCTCAATACGTTAATACACTCCCACTGCTCACCACAAGCTTGCAGAGGATAAGTCTTGTCCTCCAGGGAGTGAAGGGAAGAGGCAGGGATAGAAGAAAAGAGGTAAGAACAAGCAGGGAATTGATCATTCACAGAGCCTGCGGTTAAAAGACATGATATTGATATCAAGTCAATTCATAGAGCGTCCTTGCAGGGCCTTCCTAAAGAAGCCAGAACTTGTTATTTAAAAAAAAAATAAAAGGAAAGTAAGAAAAACAACCATGTACTTCCAAAGCTGAAAGTACTTTAAGTTAGGTATCAATTCATCATTGCCCTCTTTGTCCAAGAGGAGGGAAGACAAATCTGATGTAGGATTTGTCATGGCATGGTTTGGCCAGTGAGTTCCAGAAGAGAGGTGGGAAATCTTGGAGTAGGCAAAGCCATGGGTTGGTAACATTTGCCTGCTGCTCTATTCCAAAGGTATGTTCCCACCTATGATCGCTGTCCGTCAAGGTGAGAAGGCTCTGTCTCTGGCTTAAGGGACGGACTGAGTGTTCCTGCACCATATTCTTAATACTGTTAATTGTGCTGTCACAGCCTTGAGAGGCAGGATTTGCTCCAATAGGCACTGAACAGACAACCAGAAAAGAAGCAGGGTGGAAAGGGGAACAGGATGGACAAATGACTGCCCATTTAATCCTGTCTCTAATTGAAATCTTAACTGATGTTAATGTATTTGAGAAAGATATTGGGTATAGGATACCTCAACTTAAGATCAAGAACTGCTTTCCAACTTACTTTGCTCTTAAACCTTCATCTGATGAATTTCCTTACCTTCAAACTTCAGTCACTACAACATTAAATTAACCCACTTAGAAACAGTTTAAGATGGGGAGAGTCCAGAACATACTTGGCACAGGGCCGTACAGGTGAGGAATCAATGCCATATGGAGCCATCCTAGGCAATGTGTTTTAACACTTGCAAGTCTGAAATTTCAGGTGTTTGATAGTCCTCAGATCTGAGAGAGCGTACAGGAGAGAGCAGCAAGTGCTCTAGACAGTGGTGTGAGGGAGGAGGGAGGCAGCTAACTGGCTCTGCTCAGTTCTATCCAGACTCTCCTCGCTTCTTCATGCACACAAAATATAATAAAAACTAATAAGAATAAAAACTAAGCCCATGATGTAAAAAATGTGTTGACAGGGGGAGGAGGAAGGTGTCAGTTGCTCAGTTCTATGTGTCTTATCACCTTCATTAGCTTATAAGTTATGTTCCTCTCCATCAATTCCTTTGGGGAGGAGGGGAGAATCTTCTGCAGCAGATCAGCTGGGATGGGTTTTGGTTTAAGCTGCTCTGGATCTTTTGGATAAGAAATGAAAAGAAGGGGAGGAATTCCTTAGAAGGAGGGGAGGGTAAGAAATTCAGCAGCCACTGGCAGGAGGCACACAGGCTCCCCGGGAACTCACTTTAT